AAAGAATCTTATGAATAAAAATCATAGAAAATTCATTAATATTATTATCTTTATTATAAAGTATAACAAATAATACAACTTTATCAATTTTTTGTAATTCAACTGTTAATACTGCATTCTCTGTTTCTCAGTCTAAAAACCATAATTAGTTTTGTGACCTTTTTTTTTGATTATTACTCAGCAAGTTATTTGGTAGTTCTTCAAGTATTAAAATACGTTGAATTATTATTTTAAATACACTATTTATATCCACTATTGCTAAAATTTGACCAACTTTATTTACTACTATCGATTCTTTGTATACTATGAAACTATGAAATCTTCACAATTGTATATTTCTAATTTAATAATATTATAAAAATGATTAATAATATTAACAAAATGATTATTACAGTAAAATATGTAATACATACTTTCATTAATTTGAACAAAAGTGAATCTAAATTGTGGGATTCTTTTCATAAGTTTCCATGCCATAGTTCTATATTTCTTTCGACTACTTAACCTGGACCAAAATACAATTTGATCAAATAATAAAGGATTGTTAAAAGAATGTCAAATTTTATTAGTAATGGATAAATAATATATATTCTTAATTTTTCAGGAAGCTGATAGGTTTTTTGGTCTGAAATATAAATTTTACATGATCTAATAAATAGTAAAGGTCAATACTTGCTAAATTGGTAAATATTAGTTATAACATCCTTGATCTTGAACTGTTGATGCCGAATTATATCTACTAGTTCATCATATGTTTGAATAGCTATTAAAATTTTGGAATTATAATATTAGAATTCAATTTATTGTGAAATAATTCTTAAACCTTACATATGTTATACTTTTGAATCCAGCAAAACATTAATGCTTCAATAATATTTTTAAAATATGATGCGAACTCTCTACTATGATGCAGCATTTTCTCATTATCTAAGGCATTATCAACAATTTTATAAGTTTTTTCTTCATCAAATATTCTATCATTCCAATTTCTTCTTCATTAAATCCTTCGTATTTATCATCAACAATTTCTTCTTTATCAATACTTCACATTCTTCTTCATTGAATAATTTATACTAGTTTCTTCATTATTGAAAATTTCACACTGGTTTTTACTATACTTGATGCTTCATTATTAGCTTCTTTTTCATTTAGAATTTTGTTAACAAGTGGAACTTCTTCATAAATATAATCAGATATTTTTTTATTTGAAACTTCATAATTATTCTACATTTCATTTTTTCTAATTGATATTTCATTATCTTTTTATAATCATTTTTATTGTCATATAGTATTTTAAAGGAGTTGTTTATAATTAATATATTGTATCATTCATCTCCTTAAAAATAATTATTTACTACTGATACCGGACCTCATCAAAGTTACTGCATCACAAAGATCAACATTAATTAGCATAATTAACTTTATCAACTTTTACAACATTTTTAACATTTTTAACATAGTCAACTTCTTTAACTTATTTATATTTATTATCCTATTTATTATTTTTATCTTTTATATAATTATTATGTATTTTATATTTATTATTTAAATTAACTATTATTTATAAATTAGCGTTAGTTATAGTTTTCTTATAATTGTAATTTTGTATAAATAGGATAGAAAGTGGCTCTTGTAAAAGAATAACTCAAGAGTGCAAGTTCAAGTCCTAGAATCCAAGAGTTAAGGATCTCTGAGCATACAATTATACAATAAAGGAATCTCTTTCTATACAATAATCTACACAAAACCCTTCAACGTGTCTAAAGTGTTTATCTTTGTTATAAAGTTATAAAGTTACAAAGTGTTACAACAATTACCAAGCGATAAACTTAAAGGTTGATCGTGATAGGACTTATTTCATAGTAATCTTAGATTAATTACACATATTACTCCCTGTTATCAAGTCATTGTTACCCTAAGTTTGACGATTGAGAGTAGGGTTAATACCACTTATTCTAGTATTAAATAATGCATCATATAATTTTGTCAAGGATTTAAAGAAATATAGCAGTTGCGAAACATTTTTGAAAAAAATGGAAAAATCATAATTTACTTTCACGCAAAAAATGAAGAAAAAAATTTTTCACACACTGTTAAATAATGTAATATTGCATCAATTTCGCATATGTACAAATTTTATGTAATAAAATAAATAATTGTTACACTAACTTGAAACAATTATAATATTAATTTAATGTAAAAAGTTTATTGATAGAGTTAAACTAAATTTGGTAATATTAAGTTTACATTATAAAACAATTTTGGTAAGCAATTAAATAAACTTTTTGAAAAGTTTCTTGTTTTATATCTATGAATTAACAAAAAATAAACATTAGAAGAAAAAGCTTATTATTTATAATTTAATCATGAATAAAAAAAAAAGTACTATACTTCTCTCTCTCAAATTACTTTTACAAAAATTATGAGAACTTCTAAAAAGCGAGCAATTGAAAAAATTGAAGCCACGAATAATACAAATAAAAGAGGTTGCAAGAAAAGAATATTTCAAATGATGATCTTAATGACCTGACCTTTTAGTTATACCAATAATCCTTCACAAAATAAAAGTACGGATGCAAAAAAAGGTCACAAAAAAAAACAGTTGCTCCTAGTGACCATTATGATAACAATGATAATTCACAAAGTAAAAGTACAAGTTTCAAACAAAGCTACAAAAAAAGCAGAAAGAAACAGATGCACCACAACCTTCATCACAAGTAATCACTGAACTTTTGAAAAATGATGCTCTTAATGATGACGAAAGTCTTAACGATGATTATATTCTTAATGATAATGATGGTCTTAACAATGATGATATTTTTAACGATGATAATGGTTTTAACGATGATGTTCTTAATGATTTTAACGATATTAATTATGACCTTAATAATAATAGTGATAATAGTCCAAGCGATGGTGATGATTGTCCAAATGATGAAGAAGCTGCTGAAGCAACTGTAGAAATAGGAATCAGTAGTCAGGTTCAAAATGATTTAAATAAAGCGACACCTTCAAGAAAATTATCTGCATATGATAGTAGTCAAGTTCTGAATGATTTTATTCCTTCGAGTCGAATGGCACCTTCAAAAATGTTGTTGACTCGTGATGCACGATTTAATAGTCAAATTTCAAATTGTTTTACCCCTTTGAATCGATCAGTGAATCGAATGTACCTTCAAGAACAGTGTTGGCTATGCTTATAAGTCCAATAAAATAAAATTCTATTTGGACTTATAAAATTATTAAGTCCAATAGTCCAAATGACGGAGTTTTTATAAGTCCAATTGGTTCAATAGCCATTACTGTTCAAGAATGTTATCAAGGGAAAATAGTCCAATTGACTATTCAGCAAGGAATGAATTTGATTTTTCAAATAGAAACTCAAGAATGATGTCAGCAAAAAGTACATTCGATTATACTTCTTCAACTGTAACTAGATCAATATTGAGAGCAAATAATCCATTTGGCAGAACTATACCTCCAAGACTGACAAGGCCGACACCTTTAGAGCCAAAAGATAATGCATTTAACATTCTTAATAATACAGTTATTCCAACTCAAGATACAATGAATTTTAACACAATTGGGAAAGACCATTAACGAAATGACAATTTAACAACTTTGTTCGTGGTTATGCACGAACTCTAATGTTTTACAATTGGCAAATAATATGTATTCATCAATGCAAACCCTGGCTACAGAAGGGTCACAATCCATATCTCCTATCTTTAATGGATTTCCAACTACATCACAAAACCAAGAGAGTAAGAAAATGTCTTGTCGTGATTTTTTAGAAAAGCTAAAATGTCTCTTTCTTCGTGTTCGAAATCCTCCTAAAAGAGCGTTCGAAGAGTTGATACGAAAATTTATTAAGCGTGAGCTCAATTCTGTTGAAGGCATCGAATGGTTTCAAATAGCAAATAGACACTTCGGTTATTTTCGTAACAAATTTGTCAATAGTGTCGAGGATTTGGTCGAAAGTTTCAAAAAAAAAAGAAACACGTTAGCATTATTTTTGTCTTTATTATTTATTATATTCAATAACGAATTTGTTTTTATTATTTATTACGATTAATGACGATTTTAAATTATTGCTTATAGATCGGGTCCTTTACAAAAAGAAGAAATCAATTTTGTGGATGAGTCTGCAACGGTTCGTGTATTGAGTCGATGGTTAAATGCCACTAACATAGATGAATTACTTGCTCAAGATTCCATGCACAATTTAAATAAATTTATTCAGCACGCTTTCGCTATTAATTATTCATCAAGAATACGGAAAAAACAAAAACTTTGGATAAATTAACGAAAGGCATTGTAGTACCATCGCGAAATGATAAAAATTTCGCTAGTAATTTACATTTATAATTATAATATTTTATATCGAAGGAAATAAAACAATTTTATATATAATAAATGCATTAAACAAAATGCTATTTAAATAAATGTGTATTTTAATTATTTATTTTTGCAAAATTTACATTTAAGAATATCACAAAAAAATACAGAACTAGTCAGTTCATCGTCGATTATAAGCTAACACATCGCAAACTATTTTTTTTGGCTAATTTTCGATTTTGTTTGCAATTTTATTAAAACTAATATTATAATTCTCTAATATTTCGAAACTAACTGATTACGAAGCACTACTTCTTATAGTTACGTGATCGATACAGACTAATTTCTGACGAATCAGAGGTTATTACGTAGAGACCAGATGACAAACTTCAGGTTTCTGTAAAGTATTTAAAACATAAATATAAATAATAGCGGGCGTCAAATACTTTAATCTGAGGCAATGGCTAAACAAGAGTGTGTATTTAAACGAGCTAGTTTATCTTTTACGAAAATAGAATTTGTTTTTATATTTTAGTCTAATTCAAATTTTAAATAAGATTTCATGATATTAAGAGCCTTTATAAATCATAAAATAACTCAATACACTTCTAATTTTAGAGATTGAAACCTTCTGCTAATGTATCACCCGGGGTTTTCATATCTCAGGTACCCGGGTTATTTCGGGTCAAATTAGTTGATAAATTTTCTCTTAACTTAACCTTCAATGTTGCATGGGATTGTTCTTCATCAAGAGAAATTACTGGAGTTATCGAGCTAGCTTTATTATTGAAGGTAACTAATATATTATCTTCATTTTATGTGTGTCAAAGTTACATTTTGGTAATTTTGGTAATGAATTGAAAATTTAATTAAGAATTTCGGTAGAATATTTTCCGATGAATGTCTAGATTTTTAAACAAATTAAAGCTAAAGAGGAATACAAACTTATGAATAAGCAATTTAATTGATTTTACACCTAAAAAAAATAATTCTCGAGATAAATGTGCAATCGATAAAATTATTAATGTAATCATTTGATAAATTAAATGGATCAGCTAAAGCTTTCGTATTTACATTTTCTTTCAAAAATTTCTCATGAAATTATAGAAAATTTAAAATGATTATTAGGTGTTCATACTTAAATTGTTAAATTCCAAAGTTTATTTCGAATAAGATTACTATTTTTCAACATTATGTTTAAAAAAACTAATCTTACGAAATATTTAAATTAAAGACTAAGAAATTTTAATCTAATCTATGAGTGTTTAAATAATTCCCGATAAAAATCATCTATGGTTACTTAAAATAAAATAATTTCAACTTCAACATTTGTATTAAATTTCTGTTTAAATATATAATTATAATTATTTGTAATTATAATATCCTTATAAAGTTCATAATTTTTTACCTTCAGGAATTTCTAATTACTCTTGGTCTTCTGAATGTAGATTTGGATTATTGTATATTTCTTCTTTAGATATTTCTACAATAAAATAAATTATTAAAATTGTTCCGATAAATTTAATATAGAATATAGAAACTATTAATACTTACTATCCGGAATATTTGGTTCAGGTAAATCATTAAAAATATGAATTTTACTAAATTTACTAACCAATGAACTAGCATTTTTATTAACATTTTCATTTGATTGTATATAATTAATATTAATAGCATTTTCTTCATTTTCATTTTGATAATACAATTTTCTCATTTGCTTAATTTTATTATCAAGAATATTAATTTTTGGTCTTTTAAATGGATGAGCATTCCAACATTGTACCATTAAATTTGCATATTCCAATGGAGTTTCTGATACGATTTTTGGTCTCAGTCCATTCATTATTTTCATCACAAGATCATAATTATGTTCAAAACCAGCAAAGGGTGGTTGTCCAGATGAAATCTCCCACATAAGCATACCGATACTATAAATATCTGATGCAAAAGTATATCCTTTTCCAAATATAACTTCTGGTGCTATATAAGGAAGATTTCCATATATACTTTATAATGGTTTATCAGCAGGGCCACAAAATCCAAAATCACTAATAACCCAATGATTTATATTTTTAGAATATAAAATATTTCCTGAATGCAAATCTCTATGAATAGAATTTTCATGGTGAAGGTAAAAAATTGCTTCACTTATAAATGCAAGTATATTGAGCCTTTGTTTCCATCAATTGTTTATGATTTTGCTGTAAATATTTTCTTAAATCAAAATCCATTAAACTCATTACAAGAAAATAATCTTTATTTTTTGGATCCTGAGTAAGTCCACTACTTTCAACGAAGATGCCCCGTTTACTGCCTAAAGTTAATTGAGATTCAGCCTATAAAACAGAATAATCTTTTTTATTTAAACGAAACTTTAATTATTCATTCTTATAATTACTACTTTAAAATTACATACCTCTTCAAACCAGATTCTGTTAGCATTTTCAATATTTTCTAATTTTTTGAGTATTACATTTTCACTTCCATCTCTTATTAATTTTTGTTTGATAGAATCCCATCTTCCATAAGGATCATTAATCAAAATTGCTTTATAAATTTCAGAGCATCCACCTTTAGTTAGATATTCAATATTTTGAATATTATTGTATGGTATCCATTCAACTATTTTATATGGAATAAAAGCTTCTGACTGACATTTCTGTATTAAGTTATCAATTTCATTATTTCCAGATGTCCATTCTGGAAATTTTGCTTTTAAATAACTTCGAAAACATTTCTCACAATATGATGATGCTAAACATTCTAGTTTGCAGTTTTCACATTCTCTTTTTATTCCTTGATTAAAGATAACTTTATTGTAGTCATGATTCTGACATAATATTTTTATTGCCTCTGATTTTTCCTCTTTTGTGAGCGTTGAGTCAGTGCAAATTGTTTGTTGTCTAAATTCATTCCGTTTATCTATGTCTGTGTTATTGTCAGTCAATGCATATGCTCTATTAATTGCAGCGTAAGCCAATTCTTTATTAATAGAGGCCATAATAGAATAATAAAAGTTGTGAAAACTCCGGCTTTATACCGAAAAAATATGATCATCAATGTAGTACATCTGTTACATGACGATCAATTACATGACTAATGGAGAAGTTAAGTTATTGAAATACTTGCATACCAATGTAAATTATATAAAGTTTATATAATTTAAGATAAAATGTTAATAAACATTAGAAAAGATAAAGTAAAATTGAGAATGTATCATTAACTTTACATAATGAAAATATAAATGTGGTAAATGGAGTGAATAATTAAATATGTAAAATTTTGCAATTATCTTTTTGCATTTCATGATATATTCATAAATTTCCTAAAATTTATTAAATTACAAAAACAAACAAAAGGCTTTTCATACTATTATCAAAAAGGTTTAGGTGAATACAAATGTAATGAGGAGGCCTATTTTAATTCTTATCAAATAGTTCAAATATTTTACAAAATACTTTGAAATATAATTACATAAGATAGTTTTTTTATTTCTAGGTGAGAAATAGATTATTCGATTTGTTACAATCATATAGAGTCAAAAAAATAAATAAGCTATAAAATGTTCATATATGAAAATACTGCAATCAAGTGACATTCTTTGAAAGTATGAGATAATAATGAAACTTAATTATAAATGTGTAATACTTCATGATAAGTATTATATATTAGCATTATGATGCAATGTTGAAGTTGATAGTAAGAGTGTAGCTGTTGTAGCCCAAATGCGTTAATGTCCGAAATGATCATTTCGGATATCCCAAATCGGAATGCGCATTTGGGATATC